ACCGATAAGGTCAACCTTCCTTAGATTTCTCGTTACGTTGGACGGTATAATTCAACTGACTGCAAACCGCGGATCCGTAGAACGTCAGAATAACACCGGGTCAAGTTGATAGCCCATCCGACCGTCCCACAGGGCGCTCCGCATTGGTTGCAATAGAACGGAGCAGGTATAAACCGATGTCACGGCCCTCAGGGAAACACGACTGGCTGGTCAAGCAAACCTTCGAGATGTTCTCGGGATAGACTACCCGACAGAAAAACGAGATCACATCAATTTTTCATGTCTAAACGCAACGAAAAATCCTCAGCCTAGAACGCCGTGAAATCAATCCACGTCTCGCTCCACTGCACCTGCACTTGACAGGTATGCCAAACCTACATGCATACATCCCAACGCTAGGCCCAACAAGCGACCAGAATGACAAGTTCTACGCCAGAGTTAACAACCTATTTCAAGCAATTCCGAGAACAAACAAGATCCTCTTGCTGGGAGACTCCAATGCACGTGTCAGCCCAAAACCATTTCCTATAGGCAGGTGTTTTCGGACGCCACGGTATCGAGACTGTAAATGTCAACGGTGATTGAATCCGGCCTTTCCCTATCTCCATCACGATTTTCATCCAAGAGAAAAAATATCGCCACATGAACACGCCCTTGCACCAGTTACTCTCATTTACTTGGTTACGTTATAATTCACCAGCGGAACGTTCAACAGGTGTGCATCACACGAATGATGCGAATAGCCGACGGTAAAACAGACCAACAACTTGTCCGAACGGATACTAAAGTTCAAATTCATAAGCCAAACCGTGTCAGCTGCATCAGTAAGCACACAAGGACTGACGCAAATCTCTCAAAGACCCGAAAACCAGGTTGGTGTACCAGCATCAACTGGACTCTGCACTGATGGCCTCTAATCCATCCAACCGCTGGGGCAACTGTGCCCGAGACAATCACCAACACATAAAACAGCTGGTAGCTGGGAAAAAATGAACCAGTTGTCTACTCTCACTCAGCAGCTAAAGTACGTCCAAAATGACTGACAAGCGAACACGTAATCATGGAATAGCACCGTTCAGGTACTGCGAAATGACCCCGGAAGACACTTCTTCAAATAGTTGAAATGAACAGGTAGGAACAGGAAGTTCTACCAGAATCTAAGGATGCTCTAATCATGCCACCCGATAAAAAGAGATAAATTAACCTGAAAACTACAAGGGTATCAGTTTGGTGAGCTGCACGGACAAGCTCCTGGGACGAGCACTGCTCGGCTTGGTGCAAGAGTACAAATCAAGGATGATTACCACGTGGACCAGTTAGGTGACCATAGTAGCGATAAGAAAAATGTTCTGCGCACACTATATTAAGATACGATATGCAGTCAGTGAGAAGCCAGGTTGAGTGTTGCTGATAAGCTGAATATTCCTGGTCAAAGGTGGTGAAAAAGCCCAGGATTGGTAGCAGCAACTGCGTTCTGTAAGCTACACAACGAGGTCCGTCACCCGTACGGTTTTACGCACTATTGACAGCCAAAATTTATTTAACAGCCTTATTGTGGAATAAATTAAAACGGATGGTGTTAGCCTACGACAATCATTCCGAAGTACATACAACTCCAGATACTCATTAGAATTTGGATAGAATCTGCCAAGAACGTCATCGACTTCGAATAGCAGCCAATCACAGAGATTACGATAACCCCGCCGCCGACAGCGCCTAAACTTCCCCGTCAATCCCATGCCCCTTCGTCAGGTCAGAGGTTGACCATCTCTCTGCTCGCACCACTCTGAATCGGGTAATAAAAAGTAGCAATCTCTTCAGAAGACGATGAACCAGCGAGCGCAAAACCATAGTAACCTCTAGTGCTGGACTGATTCCTCGACTAAAGTACCTGTTGCACAAGTGAACACTCGTTTTCTGATTATCCTGTTGAGGATTTGCCGGTACCAGCGTACACGAGCTATGAGTACGGTTATCGAAGAACTGAAGACTTCAGTTTCGCTGTCCCCAGGGGTCACGTCCCATAGCCTTGCAGCAAAACAGCCTGTACAGTAGCCTAATACACACGTCCCCTGAGATCCGAGGATACGTCGCCATGAATGTCATACCTGCCATTATCGGCGAACGAAACCACGGCAGCTACAATCTTGTACAGCATGTACGTGTTTTACGGCTGAAGACGACCTAACAATTCTGACCATACGTCAGCGCGATCACCGAGGCGATTCTGTGGTTCCATCAGGCTGAACCTAAGCCTGTCGTCGATAAACATCAATGGGAGGTGTAGACAACCTCCACAAAAGTCACCATTCACAATCAAAGACCACTGAGTAACGATGGGGTGTCTTATTTTCTGCTGACCAAAACGGCCTAGAATAGACTCACCTTATCAACCGCTAAGTCTTGGACGCATCGGTAGATTTAGACCGGTGGTTATTACACTAGCTACATTGAAGCAAATCAAACCAAATTCTATTGGGAATAATTGACTACAGAGGCGGAACCGACCCGTCACCGGAGCCCTCGTAGAATGTTCCGCCCAGTGCAGGACCGGCAAAAAACGACCTGGTATTAGTGAAACGCTGAGGCAGAAGGCGCTTTCACACAAACTTAAACGCTGCTGCAGACGTGGACGACCCGGTCATCATCATCATCGACAGCATGACATCAGTGTTCAACACCGATGCTTCAGCGCCACTCTAGCGATAGTAAAAGGTTGTGCCCCATGAGAATTCTCCGTGGTAACACCAACGGAAAAGCTAATGAAGTATCCCGAAACAGCAGCTGTCACAGGATCAAAGCTGCATCCATTCCCCGTTCAGCGCATCTGAAGCACCGTTAGAGGTCACGTGTGATGAACTTGATTGTAATTAAGGTCGTGCGGGTCTGGTCTCGTGCGCCGGATGCTGAACAGTCTACGCTAGATAATACTTCTAGCCGATGCATCTAAGTGAAGCCACAGTGCGGTCTAGTAGTGAAGCCTAGAGACCATAACCAAACCAAAACCAGGCGGTCGCACCCGCAGCTGTCTTCATCCTGGACGAGGAGTAACACGGGCTATCAGTAATCAGGGGAACTGGCAGGCATAGCCCTTGAGGTCCCTGCATAAGCAATTTCCATCGATACATAGTATCTCTGCCACTCACACCCGTGCCAACACCAGGGTACACAGGCAACTGACACCATCAAAACTGGAGTTAAACTCCGTCACTTTCAAAGTACAGTTCGCCTCCCAAACTGTTGGTTATCAAGTGGAGCTAGAACAGGGCTTACTGGAGGGAGATGACAGCCGGTTTGTAGCTGATACGACTAGCTAGGCCACTATCGTACGGCTACTCCCCGTCATGTTTCGTAAGTGGTGAACGAATACCCCATGCAGAGACAGCGCCCGCTTCTATTGGTGACAAATTGGGGTGGGTACATTGCCTTCGACGAAGCAAAAAGCACTTTGCCGCCCCGTGAACACGCAAAAGCCCTTTAAAGAGGTGCCCTTTTTCTATCATTCACTACACAGGACCCGTTCCTAATTGACTGCAAGCATACTGAAAAGTGACACCGGGTGCCTTAGTTCCAGACAAGCTATACCGCCACCTGTAATTCGCAGGCAAATGTTCCTATAAATCCTTGGATGTCTCTCATTACCAGCAACGGAATCTTTCCCTTCCACATCTCTTCCTTGTAGTTTTCTCCTGTGGGAATTCGTCCGCCGTGGCATTTTCTCGTCGTGACTGGTCGGCCGATCCCGATCAAATAAGCCATTCTTCTGGAGTGAAGCGGAGTTGTCAGCTTTCTATTGAATATAAACTAGATATTGTGCACCAAGCAGTCGTTTTGGTGTCTTCTACGTACATCAAGTTGGACGGAACGTCGCCTACAGGTTATAGCTAGCACAGCTTCGTCCGCCGATGATAGGGGGTGGGGTAGATAGCTACGCACTGGGCGCGGTAGCTGATATAACTGATTCATCAATGCAAAATGCCAGTGGAATTTCCATTAGAGATATCGGGGAAGCCGTGCTAGCCAGTAATAGCTTTCATACTTCGCTACCAAATAATTGCTTGATTTCCTTTGACGGATTCCTACCCTCCGACTGGTTGTACGCAAAGCGACTCCGGAGAAAGTTGGTCGACTGACGTACAGAACTCCACTCACCCAAATGGAGTAAGACGTCACCTTAAGTGAACAGAGCCTTAAAATGGATAGAATCGGGACAGGAAAGGTCCATATCTAGCCTACCACAAATACCCTAGGTATCAGCATTGTCACAAATTCGGGATAGAAACTGGTAGCATGAAAGCTAGTGACACTGATTGGCCCCCGTATCGTCTCCTGCCAATCACAGGGAGGGCGACGTGAACCACATCCTGGAAGTAAACTTTTCGTAGTACCCTTCGATCATGTCAAACAATTTGCACACCTCGGGTTCCGTCACTCAGAACTGAGCACAACACTCGTCTCGGTATATGCAGCACATTGCTCGGCATTCTGGCGCTACAACCCTTTCGTTCACTGTACAACGATAAAGCATCGATAGTAACCACGATGCGGGAGCCATTTTAGACAACGCCGGCACAGCGCACACAGATAGTTACCCATACCATATTGAATCTATTTTAATTGGTCCTCATTAGGCCTCATTGAGGTAGCCATTGTTGCTCCATCCCTTGAGGTGCTGTCAAGAGGTGGATGCGTAAATTTCAGGGCATGGCCTAAATGGAAACCACCGCTCCTATCTTTTCTGTGAGCGCTTGTACGTTCATGCTATATATACACAACTTAACTCATTTAGTATCTTCTCGAGAGAGAATGCCAGAGTTACATCCACCATCCATGTACAATTTCAGACGTCAGCCCTTGAGGAAGTAGGATACAAGCAATGCTAGCTTCTAATCTGATAAGCAGAAGCGAGTCGCCGAGTACGCAGAACGCGGCTTAGTGGTGCCAGCACAAATACACCTTAGTTCGTATGTTGACAAGGGCTTTCGGCGCACGAAAAGCACATGTTCAAACTCTTTATTTACAGTTACATTTACAGAAAGACAGACCATAAGTCACTGTACAGTTTCCTTGGAAGCCACACGAGATTTCAGTTTTCGCATTCGGTGATACTTCTCGATATACAGCTTCACGAACACGTTGATTTTTTCCGAATTCACAGACGATGTTCCACTTCTCAAAATCTAAAAAGTGAGTAATTGAGAAAATCAATATACCTTGGTTACGGCTTTTTTCATAATCTCTTTGTAATCTTCTTTATTAATCCGCCGCACGGCGTAGGCAGGCTTTAGAACAGACTTCACCTCTAGGGCAATGCGTTCTTGCCACTCCCGCCGCGACGCGAAGTCATAGCGCTTCCTTTTGGCTAAAACATCCTCTATCTTTTGACCCTCAAACGGGTTGGTGTGGGGTTTCGCTGGTTGATTCTCGCCATTCGCTAATACAGGGAGAGAATTGTGTTCATCTACGGCAGTCGATACGGCAGGGAGTGGGGGAGGTACAAAAGTTGACGTGAATGACTGTTCCGTAAAAGCAGATTGGTTGCCGAAGTTATCGCTTGGTAAGGGAGGTGGCGGTGGTGGGGGTAGTGGCTCAGGTGTGGAGACATCAAGTACCCCACGCTGAGTGCCGGCAAGCTGGTTGAGCAGGGAATTGGCTGCAGAACTAAGCAGCTTATTGATTTGCTTCATTGGAGAGTTCTCTGTAGTAGTACTTACTGCTTCAGTAGTTGGTTGCGAAGTTGAAGCGAGATCACTTAGGGTTTCACGGGGTAAACCGGCTTTGCTCATGAGTGTTTCCAGCAAATTTGGAGGGCGTGGCATCTGTAGTTGTTGTGCAAAAGTAGGTGGGGGCGGAGGGGGTGGAGGGGGAGGTGGTGGAGGAGGTGGAGCGACTGAACTGAAGGATGTCACTTGGGCCATGGACGAAAAGTTCGATCCAGCAGCAAGAGTCGATAACTGCGGCTGTACGGTATTTTGTACCCCGAATGAGCTCATTGTCATGGGGATAACTGAAGGCATGCGTGGAATCATTACAGGTGGTTGTAGATAAGGAGGCATTGCTGACGTTGGAAATGGCAAACCAACGGGCGGAAAGTTTGACTGTGGGGCATTTAAGACACCAAACGGGGACTGTGGATACCTTGGATTTGCATTGAACGAACCCGTCGGATTAGGCATCATAGGCGTCGTGGGGAACGTTGGATAGTTCCACCTGCTCGGTGGCGGTAAAGTTACCCGAGGACGCGCAGGCAACATCAAATCCACTGCAGCACCTGGCGGTAAATTACTCTGGGTGGAATCCAAAGATAAGGTCTGAGGGCTATGGGGTCTTTCTTGCGGAACATCTGAATTCAGGGAGACCATTTTCGTGGGGTCCCACGGTATTACCTCAGGTTGATCCACGGTTTCTGCAGCTGCCTTGTCCTGTGGTTTGGTGTCTACAGGAGCTGCCGGTTGTTCTGACTGTCTCCTTCCAGAATGCCTATCATTTGTTATTGAACGACCTGCATGTTGCCGGCTCCCGGATCGTGATCGGGGGCGTGAGCGGTAATTTCCCCCGCGGGACTGGCGACGTTCCGGAGTTATAGAACGCCTCCGACGTCTATCACGTGAATGCGAACGGGAACGCCTACGGGAGTGGGGATAACGCCCGCGAGAATGTGAGCGCGATTTACGTCGGTTACGCCGGTCGTCGGATCGACTGCGATTACGTTTGTGTGAGCGCGAGCGGCTGCGTCTACGAGGTGCATCGCCCCGTTCCATCTTGGAACCTTCTTTTGAACGGGAATTCCTGCTAACCTCTTCTACCGCTTTGGGTTCCGCTTCACGCACAGGCGTGTCGCATGACAGTGATTCAAAGAGCTTTGTCTCAGCAGCTTCTTTTTTAGATTGTAGGGAATCCAGACCAGATTCCGCGGTATTTAGCTCAGGAGGGCACCCAAGAGAGGCTAGACCGTCAGAAAAGTCCTGGTTCACACTTTCACTGAATATCAGGGGTACGACTGTTCCAGATATGTCTGCTGGAATTACATGGTTCTGATGCGCATCTTGTTCAGGCGTCGGTGCAGAATCGCTTTCTACTTCCATATCCTGATCTGTAGGATGTGACGGGCTGTATGCGTCCATTTCAAACAATTAAAACGTAGTACGAAAAATCACAAGCAGTCAGAGGGCCCACAAGCCCATCATTACCCGCAAATGGTGAAAGCGCGGGAAGGTTTCGGCCAATTTAAAACAAAAACAGTCATCCAGGTCCAGCTTTTTCATATCTTCGGATAACGGGTTTTGGCCCGTTAATATTCACTCCGTCAAACAAAATGCACAGATCTCATGCATATCTCACGCACGCAATAATGCCGCGTGTTATGAACGTGGGAATTCAGTGGCCCGGACTTTTTCGGTCAACCTTAGTGAGAATGTCGAAGGACTGCCTTCAAAATCCTGTGAATCGAGAGGTTACGTTTTCAAAAGTCTGCCTATATAGTTCCTAAAAGACAATTTTTCTAGATACTGTGAACAATAGGCACTAATTTGCGCTTAGGCACCAGTGGATAGTGGGAGAAACAAGGCGTTAGGTGGATATTAGGCACAAAACTCTTAAAGACAATCCTTTTCGTGAAGAAATGCTCTCTATGCTGATGATGTCTTTTTTATGCGTTACTTTTAGTTTGCACCACTATTCACCATTTTCTCCACAAGTGATAGCTCCGGTTAATTATACCCAAGTCTCGTTTCCCTGCCACTTATCACCCTGGCGGGAAGACACTACTATGTTTATTATTTGCACACTAGTGAGTTCCGCTTCTTCACAAACAATACCGGCACTGCTGTTGTTCAGCGTGCCAACGAGAGGTGTACTTTTACCACAGGTTAGTCCGTGCTTGGGAACCAACCTGGTGTGTGCCGCCATTTTATCCCGCATTGAATTTGTCGTAAGATGGCTAGCGACCAGAAAATGTCTGTGATTTAATTCACTTTTGGCAAATAGTCCGCCAGGCTTAAGTATGAGAAGTCCGAAATTTTTAGGACCTCTCATTCTTGCGCTTGTCAAACACGGTTCCCGAGGGGAACCCATATTCGGTGTTCAAATACACTATGCCTGGGGAATAAAGCAGGCTTGGAGTGAAGGTACTCCCGGTGAAGGTCTGGTCTCACAGCTCATCATACTGCATGGTAAACATCCACGGGCCTGCTGAATAATGCTCTCAACTCATGAGGATCATGCCACCTAACGAATGCTTCTGTCGCATAAACAGTCGAGGCTTGCGATCTGTTTTTCTCTCCATTGAGAGGCTTCCACCCACTTGAAATGCACAAGCAAAATAGAAGTGAAATTCACCCCTGTGAATTATCGGGACTGGATGGCAGGTGTGCCAGCTCGAAATATCTCGGGATAAAAACCAATGGCGATGTGAACTGGCTTTTACGTCCAGCTTGAACAACGGTCGATGGGAGGTTATTCCACATGACAGCTGCCTGAAGTGAGGAGAAATCTCTGTGCTTTCTGAGCTTAAAAACCTTCATACCATGTATTTTTAGAGTTTTAGTTGTATCGACCGTGAAAAAAACAAGTAAGCCAAGCCTTGTTCAAACAAGGCTACCACTCTACGGAAGCGACCATATTTCAGAAAGTGTTCAAGCGCAAAAACAAGATATCCGAATCCAGAAGGAAGTTTAGTAACATCTTGTCAGATACGTTTGATCCATGCAGTCCAATTACAAAAGTTTTCACAAGTGTATTCGCGAAGTGGTTTGACGTCGGAGCCATGCGAAATATTTTACCTGATTAGAAAGCCCTAACCCAGCATGGCGCAGAGTGTGTAGAGCGATGGAACCAGTGGGACCCGATTAAACAATTTTGGAATTCGGATACCGTCTGTCACCTGGGTTAGGCTGTTTGTTCCTCACTCAATAATGGGGTTCGTGTTGCTCCAGCGCTATCAATTGTTTGTGGTGAGGTAATTTGAAATGGCCCGCTTTGGAATGCCTTTTACCTTTTCACGTAATGTGCCAGTAAATCCAGTACATCTGTAACTGCCAGGCAAAATGCAGTCACTAGGTCTGTAGTTTGTGAGCTATTGACGGAATATAGAGTAGACATTGTTTGTCGACGTGATCTCTGTTTCCTTTACCATTCTCGGATGAAAGCCATCTGGTCTGAATGCGCTGAATAGGTTTCTCTTAAGCGAAGATTGACGAACATTCTCCACTGTGAAGACAATATTGGTGAAAGGCGGCTCGTGGTTGCCCCTTCTGAAGCCTTGAGGTGATGAGGCGGCTGGGAAGGAATATAAGCCTGCATAATGTTCTATGTAGGAATGGGACGTCTATAATGGGTCATCTGTAGGTTCCCGGTTTCGCCCTTTTCGGGAGAAAAAGTTAGGCTTGCTTGTTCGGAGGTTTCTCACGTACTTAAATGGCATACATTTAATTTTTTCCAGCTGGACCTAATACCGTGGTTTGCTTCACATCTTCCGCTGGCGCTGTTCTGTTTAAAGAAGTTGGTTTTACAGGATACGTATTTTGTTCGTATTCGCACCACTGTTGCTTGAGCGGTCGTCCCCCTGATCTGGCGTCATTATTCTGGGCACACCAATCACGTGGCTCAAGCGTGACCACATTCGTCTGTTCAGACGTGAAAATTCGGATGCGTGCAACCCGCATTAGTGGAGTGGTGGTAACCCGCTCGCCTGTCGGTCGGATGTGCAGTGTTCGAATCCGGGCAAGGCCATTAGATGTGCACTGCTGATGAGCTCTGATAAAAACGAAATTCGAGCCCAGTGCTTCGTTTTGGTGTGGACTCATTAGAATAATTGCGCCAGCACAGGAGGATGACCGTTCAAACGAGAGTGGTGTGAATATGAACAAAAGAACAGTAATAGGTTTATTTCCTATCTTGTAGGGAACATGCCGATTTGGGGCATGGTCGAGTCGTTACTACCTGAGCGCGGCAGGTGACAACACAATGGGGAGTAAGGTACAATCGGCAAGACATGCTTATTACGGGGGAAATTAGCACGGTTTTGGGAGCGGAAAAACCAGGGACAATATGCATGAGATATGATTAGCTCAATGAAGACGGTAGATATGACCATGAGGCGCGCTATCCGCTCGTTTCACTCCCCGTGTAAGCAGCTCACGAAGAGCACATCCAAATTATTTTTGCCGAAACTAAGGTTTTTGAAGTTGCGAGTTTCATGAGGAGTTAGTCAATCCATTCGTACCTTTCGGTGACATCTCGCTCGTTGCATTTTGTTTTACTGAGCAAAATTTTGAGGTCATGGTTTTTGACTGCTTCGCATTCCGTCAACAGTTTGCGAGAGATAAACCACGAAATCGCACTTTAGTATGTTTCGGCGTTCTTTGGTGTTCTTCAAGATTGAGATAAAATTTAAAGTACATTCAGTGCAGCTCCAATTCAGGATAATCCGTCAGTGACGTTTGTTCGCTTTATGCTTCTCAGATTTACCGAACCAGATGAGTTTGTCCAGCGAACTCCTGCACAATACATTTTCCCATGGAGCCCGCCTCCCAAAGAGTAAAGTAGTCCAGGACAGCTGCTCGAATTGTGCGGTGGCGATGCGAGGGCCATCGTCGTGGATGGCGTCCTTTCCCGGATATGCGATGAAGGTCACCCATAAGTGCAGCCGATATCACCCACCTTGGATAAACATTCTGACCGCCAAGCCTGTGTCTATGTGCAACGCCGATTATGGGGCCTCAACCCTGCCCAGCAGCCTGATCTAACGACCAACCACGGCCCTTCAGGCTCATTACTGTACTCGATGCGCCTTCCGTCGCCTATTATGGTAATTGCCGGGCCCAAACACAAGCTTGTAGCTGACTTAAATACTCCAACTGTACACAATAGACCAATCCAACGATCAACGGCGGTCCTTCATACACACACATCGTCCGTCTGCTAACACACTGCCTAAAAACTTCTCAACCATCCTTGGCAAATTACGCTTCTATTTAGTGGTTACATCAGTACAAACGTAATATGTAGTCAGTATATTTCTCAGTTTCAGAAAGCTTCTTCCACTCCATAGGGTTTCTGAAATGAAAAATGTCTGACCAGCTTCGACCCGTAAAGATCTTTGCGATGTCCCAGTCGACGGAGACGCTTGATGAGTTCTCTTGGAACCCAACTATGACGAGCACACCTGGCGTCATGTGTGATCCAGCAGGACCGCAAAATATGCACCAAACTCTCCGGTTGACCACAGTTTTCACGGCATGAGATCGTCTGGCTACCACGGCCATACCGGGTGCTTCTAACTCTCGTCCTGAGCAGTCAGAGTTGGCTACCGCGAATAAATATCCGATGATACACTCGTAAACCACGACCGTCAACGCTGTTGCGCAGCTATCACCCTAAGCAACCATCTGCTCCTCCTGGGCTTTTAAGAATGCATCATGGAGTCGGATTGGAATGCTGAGATCCCAAACAATCTTACCCAATGCGGAATCGTTGGCCACATTGCGTAGTACTCTGCACTTGGTGGAAAGGAGCTTTTTATTATGTGCTACCCTCTGCATCGGAATTGTTCCACTCAGACTCGAGATACCAAGTACCCCATACTGTTTATCGGCGTGGATACAGGTGATCGGGATTCTTTCGGTAGACATGGTCAGCCACAAATAGATCGCCTGATATAGTTGTCCAACATTTTGAGCGTGTTTTGGTGGACGTGGCCGAGTTTGAGCGAATATATCAGCCTTGGTATCAGGTAGTTCTCCGTGACCTCCATTCTTTGATGCGGCTCCAACAGGACACCCGTCACCTCAACGAGCATTCTGAGTAGATGCTGTCGATGGTCAACGATTTCCTTCCCATTGAAACTAAAGGGGATGTCCAAATATGTTGCGGTGGCTGTCGAACCCAGAGAAGTGATGGGTTCCTCGGTGAAGCAAAATGGTTCGAATGGATGGCACGGAGATCAGTCTCAGCTGATCCGTTGAAGTCGAATAAGGGACCTTAGAAACCAGGGTAATATCTGCACCACACAGGTGTGGGGTATAACCCCCAGACAGGAAGAGTAAGTTGAAATACCCAGTGAGCACTTTGGCACTGAACCGACGTAGCATCCTGGGCACGAGCTTGTCCAGCCTGAGAACGAATT